TGTTTACTTTCAACCTGCGAAGTGAGAAATCTCTCCTTCTTACACGAATTACACCCAGAGTTACTCTCAGACCTACGAATCGAATTTTATATTCGCAGCTTTAGAAGTGATTCTGGGAGTAATTCGTAAAAAAAAGAGGGATTTCGCACTTCACATGTCTATGAATAAAGAGATGCCAATATTAAAATTATTGAATTGTCTATTTATTTAACAACAAATGGACGGAATAACAAATGGGGGACTAAATTGAGCAAAAACACAAAAGTCTGGGACGAAATTGATTAAAAACAGAAAACTCTGGGACTACACTAAGTCACCAAAGTCGTTTAGGACAAAATTGAGAAAAACCACTATAGTCGAAGACGATTTTGTGTATTAACTCATATATATATATATATAGTTGACTTTATTATTATTTTTTTAATTTATCGTAAGCCCGCGGGGCCCGCAAACCCGGGTGGAGCGGGCTAGGGCTTGGTAGTCCCCAACCCGTGGGCTTCGCGAGCCGGCCCGTAAAAGCCCGCAGAAAAAAAAAGCCCGCAGTGGGGCGGGCCGGGCCGTATTGACACCCCTGTTGAGCATATAGCCATTAATGTGCAATCCAACTATCAGCTTAGGTTTTTAGTTGAGATGGAGTACATGCTTTAATTTGGTATCAGAGCCATGCCAAAGGTCTTGGGTTTGAATCTCAAAAATGCCACCCATAAGTGACTATGGTTTACGCGTTGCTTGGAACTCACTGCACACGTGAGGGGGCGTGTTGAGCATATAGCCATTAATGTGCAATCCAACTATCAGTTTAGGTTTTTAGTTGAGATGGAGTACATGCTTTAATTACCCCTCCTCTCCTTTCAATATTATCTAGCATCTCCAATAGTTGTAGATTTTGAAAAGTTTTTGTAAGTGTGACTAGAAAAGAGAATATAGGAGAGCAAGGAAAAGGGGAAAAAAAAACCAAAAACAAAATCTGAAAAACAAAAAATAAAAGAGAAAAGGGTCAAATAGGCCCCAGAACATTTCGTGAAAAGTCAATTAGGCCCCATGAACTTTTTAAAAGTGCAATTGAACACATGAACTCATGATTTCGAGTCATCCGACCCCATTAGCAGGCTACCTTCCTAATAGGTGTCGGTAACTGCCCTCGTGGCTTGCCACATAAGCTATATTTTGATTATTTGGATTGCCACATAAGCATAAATAAATTAAAAAAACTTCTGGACGCCCATGTTCATCTTTTTCTTTATTATGCTTCACGCTCCATCATCTTCATCTTTTTATTATTATTATTATTATTATTATTATTATTATTGTCGTTGTTGTTGTTGTTGCTGTTGCTGCTGCTGCTGTTGTTGTTGTTGTTGTTGTTGTTGTTGTTATTATTATTATTATTATTATTATTATTATTATTAGGAGTAGTAGTTGTAGTAGCAGTAGCAGTAGCAGCAGTAGCTGTTAGGAATATTTTGTAAATTTTGATGAGCCGAATGTATTTTTGAAAAATCAAGTAGTCCCCATTTTTATTCTATTTGAGTCAGTTTAAATCTACAGAGTATGGTGCACCCATATCATGCAACCCATGTACGTTCGATGCTCAAGCCTTAAGAGAAGAGATTGTTGGAGATGTTAAGTCTATTCTACAAGAATCTACGGGTGGATTGAACACTAAAATGGATGCAATGGATACCAAGCTTGATGGTTATCACAAGGAGATGGTGGACCGTGCTCAACAATTGTTTAATAGGCAAGGCCTATTGAAAAACGAAATTGACACGGCAAAGAATGAGTTGAAGAATGATGTAATGAAGTTGTTCAATGAAATGGGAAAACATGGGCCCGAGACTACTTCAAGGCTCAAACTTTTGGAACAACAAGTGCAAGGATTACTTCAACAATCACGTATCAACATGGATCTTCTTGAAGGAGTTTGTGACAAGCAAGATTCTTCCACCAAAAGCTTTCAAAGGTTCATGGATGCTGCCGAAAAGGGGGAAGGATTAGCACGTCATTATGTCCAAGAGGACCCTTGGTGGAACTTGTTCGACCGTCAACAACACCTAGAAGCCGAGGGAGCATGATGGACTATTTTAAAGAAACTCGTCCTAGCTCGAGTTCAACCTCTCATCGTGTGTTGCCACCTACGCAGATTGCACCAATGCCACCAATGCCGAAGCCAATTGCTACAAGGATACAAAAATTGCAAGAGTTTCAAACGGAGTTCGGACACCGAAGTGAGCAAATGAGCGATGGCCGAACACTTGATGAGTGCATCTTTTGGCATGAAGCTGGAGTGTTGAAAGTACACAACATAAGAGAAGCTTATGGAAACTACATCACCGGACAAGTAGCCGCACCGTATCAACACAAAGGACTAGAGAAGGACTTCAAGAAATTGAGAGAATTCATCAATGCCAAGTTGAAAGGGAGGTAACAAATTTGGTTGACAAACTCAATTTTTGGTGTATAATATATTTTAGCTAGCACATTACTCTTTGATATCATATCTATGCTAAGCTAAAATGGGTTGAAAATGCATGACAATATTTCGTACCATACTAATGTCTCTTAGTTAATTTATTCATTTTGTGTTTTTATGTCACTAGAATTTAATTTGGACTTAGAATTAATATTGTAACACGTATAAAATGAGGATATAATATTTAGGGGGAAAAAAATTCAAGCTAAAAGAAAATTGAACACCCCACGATCAAAGTCTCATTAATACGATTAGGTTGTCCGAATTTTAAAATCTCTAAGTCACAATTTTTGTTAAACCCGTCAATTGGCTAGTCGAAATAAAAGCAATTAAAAAGAAATTATTTTTCAAAGTTGACAAAGCCAAAATGACTTGGGTATAAGTTTCGGCATCATCAAAAAGGGGGAAATTGTTAGGAATATTTTGTAAATTTTGATGAGCCGAATGTATTTTTGAAAAATCAAGTAGTCCCCATTTTTATTCTATTTGAGTCAGTTTAAGTCTACAGAGTATGGTGCACCCATATCATGCAACCCATGTACAAGTTTGGAAAATCACAAGTTGATTTTAGATGTTAAGCGGGATTATAGCTTAACACAATTATGATGTGGATTAGTCACCAAGAACCATGCTAGAGGAGTTGGAAGAAATGCGTGTGAGTTATGCCAAGTGATCCTAAGTTCGAATCTCAAGTGAAGCATAAGAAGTTTTTAACTTGCTTGGGAGACTAGCTTGGACCGTATGGGAGACTAGCCAATATGGAGACTAAGTAAGGCGAATGCACCAGATGAAGAAACACACCAAGTATGGTGGACCAAGCTTAAAATCGAAACAGAGCATCTCACCATGAACAAACTGTGAAGTTTTTACAGAGAAAATATCTGATATATTTTCATCTGAACATCAAGTTTTTATGGTGGAACCGGAGACGCTCGAAGAAGGCTGATTCGCGGAGAAATTATTTTATACTCAAGCAAGAATCAGCAGATAAATTATTTGATCAACTTGACATGTCAGAGCATTTATGAAGGACAAGAAATATCAAGCTTGCCGCGCTGAACTTATTTAAATTTTGGAGGCTACAAAATTCAAGACACGACAACGGGCAAATTATTCAAATCATCTGACAAAAGGAGAAAAGGCATCTACCTTATATTTCAGATCAAGTTGACAATATCTTTTGATCAACTACAATTCAAAATGGACGATCGAGATCGAAAGTTGATCAACGGGCAAATAGCTTTCACTAGCTATAAATTGTCCAAGCAGACTTGATGACAAAAAGAACCCCAGAGCGATTGAGCAGTTCAACAACTTGAACAACGGCTAAGACATACAAGCAAAAGATATAATCTAATTTTTCAATTAGCCGAAAAAGGGGGAAACAGAGCTTCATAGAATTACATTCAAGTCTGAGTGAGAGAAAAATTTTATCTCTTCGTAGACTTCCCTACCGAGTGTAGAAAGAGGGCGGAGTAACTGAAGAGAGTGAAAAACCCTGGTTGAGTGTAGCTTTGTGCGTAGCACTCGTTGTAAAGGGCAGAGTAACAAGAGAAGCTTGTGAAAACCCTGTGAGGACGTAGCTTTGTGCGTAGTTCTCGTGGTGTAGGAGTACAGCTTGGTGCGAAGGACTCGGGAAGGCGGAGTAACAAGAGGAGCTTGTGAAAAACCTTGGAGGAGTGTAGCTTTGTGCGAAGCACTCGGAGAAGTGTCGGTGGACACTTATTCACTATTGTAACTGGGTGATTGAAGAATAGTGAATTTCCTCCTTGAAGTGAAAGGAGAAGAGTGGACTAGGAGGATTACACCACCTTGAACCACTATAAATCTCTCCCTCTATTTACTTACTGCTCATATATATTTTGCGCATGCTTATTCTAACTGCGAACTAACCCGATTACGATTTATCGCATATCTTTATCTGTCTGGGTTTGATAGTTCCCACGTTTGCATGCAAGCCAAACTTTACGTACATCATCCTTGAACCATATCAAGTGTTTCTAACGTGTTGCATGTTTAGAATCTCTCTTTGAACACCGCACTAATTGAGCATAACACTTTACCGCTACTTATTCCGCTGCACACTCTAAGTTGTTTATCTTGTTGATGCTTGTTACTTAGAGTTGAAATTACCAAAGTGTTATTTGCCTTGTGTGTTTTCGAAGAAAGTTTGAAAAGTTAGAGAAGTCTATTCACCCCCCCCCCCCTCGCCTCTAGACTTCTCACCACCCTTTCGGGACCAACAAGTGGTATCAGAGCGGTTGTCTATTTGAGTCAATTTTGACTGCTAGATAGATCTCAAAATCTTCAAGATGAAGAGAGATATGTCTCTTGCTCAAAATTTGCTTTTCTCACCTGATAAATTTGACGATTGGAAAATACGTATGCAGGTGCACTTATCTGCTTTAAATGATGAAATGTGGGAAGTCATCACCACTGGTCCTATCCAAATCATGGAAGCTAATACTACTACCCCACGAGATCCAAATGCTCCACGATATATTCCAAAGCCAAAAATGGAGTGGACAAAGGAAGATAGAGGGCGAAATAACTTGGACAATATTGCCAAGGATATTTTGTTCAAAACGGTCGATGACACAATATTCCCAAAGATTCGAAAGTGCACCACAGCAAAAGAAATATGGGATACTCTCATTAGTATCGGTGAAGGCGATGAACAAGAAAAAGACAACAAACTAACCATTGCCATGAAGAGATTCGAAGATTTCAAAATGCTACCGAACGAAAGCATCACCGACATGGAAGCTCGATTGATCAAAATCCTTGGAGAAATCACGGATCTGGGAAAGACCATTACCCAGAAAGAAATATCGCTCAAAGTGTTACGCAGATTACCTACAAATTGGGATATGAAGGTGACCGCAATGCGCGATCATAGAGATCTAAGGACATTAGCTACGTATAAACTCTTTAGTGATCTTAAGGCGTATGAGTTCGAAATGAAGACACGAGTCGAGGAAGAACGTGATGAACGAACATCCGCATTGATGGCCGAACAACCTTCTTCATCAAGGTCAGTAGTAAATAATGATTTTTTATCTGACGAACAATTTTCTTTATTTGTTAGGAAATTCAAGAAGTTCATGAGAAAGAACAAAGGATCACCACAAGGAAATTTCATTCGAGAAAATAGAAGATCAAGAAGGGAACCGGTCGAAGATAACACAAACGTGTGTTACAATTGTAAAAAGCCTGGACATTTTATGGCCGAATATCCACACCCCAAGGCGAACAAAAATTCGAATACTTCTCCACAAGTGGAATACAAATCCAAAGAGAAGAAATTCAAAAAGGGCAAACGGAAGGCACTAATAAGTGATCCTTTAGAGGCAAGTGAATCTGAAGAATCATCTAGTGACGAGAGTGATTCATCACAAGAAGATACGGCGCTACTATGTCTAGTGGGCAAAACATCCGAACATGAGGAATGCTACATGTCGTGTGAAACTGACGAAGATGTATCTTCTAGCTCTTTTAGTTCCGTTGACACTTCTTTCCAGACTCAAGAATCATTTCAAAGTCTTATGTAATATTGTCAAAAAGTCATGGCCACTCACACTCAAATCAAAGAGCGCAATAATACGTTAATTCTTGAAAAGGAAGAAGTGTCATAAAAATTGCAAAATGCTCTAAATGAAATGAGTAATTTGAAAGTCGAAAATATTCGACTTCAAGAAGAGTGTAAAACTAGAGAGGTTCGAGAACATAACCTTCGGGAAGTAATCGCATCATTTACAAATTCATCCAAAATAATGGATAAAATGGTAAACATGCAGAAACCCGCTGGAGATAAAGCCGGACTAGGCTACGATCCATCATGTTCTCAAACCCCTGTGAAACTGACTAATTCTACTACTACTTTAATTAATAAAGTTCCAGTGGTAAAATTTGTGAAAAGTCAGTATAGCACAATGAGACAAGGAGTTGGTAATCAAATAAATGCCCAAAAAAATGTTGCAAGGCCGAATCCAAAAATTAATATCTCGGATAGGCAACAAAATTTTAAGAGGCAAAAATTTGTATCTCCAAAGAGAGCCAACGAGTCTAGTGCAACAAAACCTCATAGGAATATGGGAAGAATTCCGAGAATTGGGGCTGGGAGATTATATCCCTCAGAACAAGATTGGTCGCTTGATGACAAACTATGGACCAAGTCCAGATTTGCTCTCTTTCATAGGATCAAGCAACTATCTGCTTCCCAACCCGCACCAAAGCATTATTCGCAAGTGCGTTATGATTATAGAGTCTTTAATGGTTACAAATCACCTACTCTTGGATCAGTGAGATCTAGGTAGATTTGGATGCCAAAAATTACTAACACAAAAGGACCCAATCAAGCATGGGTACCTAAAAATAATTAATCTTTCTTGCAGGAAGTTTGGTATTTCGATAGCGGTTGTTCTTGACATATGACCGGCAATAAAGCTAGTCTAGTTGAGTTCAAAAGTATCGAAGGAACAAAAGTAGTGTTCGGTGGAAACGATCGATATGGAATGACAAAAGGAACCGGCGCAATTGTGAGAAATGGTCTACGAATTGATGATGTATCTTATGTCGAAGGATTAAAATTTAACTTGTTTAGTACAAGTCAATTTTGCGACAAAGGATATCTCGTAGAATTTTACAAAGGCAAATGTCAAGTCAAAGACGAATCCACGAATGAAGTCGTACTCGCCGGATCAAGAAAGAAAAATATGTATGTTGTAGATTGGAGTATAACAAAGGAATCCGTATGCTTGATGGCAAATATTTCGAATGAAGCTTGTTGGGAATGGCACAGAAGGCTAAATCATTTGAATTTCAAAACCATCAACAAGTTTGCAAGAAATAATCTAGTCGAAGGACTACCCAACATTGTGTTCAAGAAAAATCAAATTTGTGATGCATGCCAGAAAGGAAATCAAATCAAAGCATCATTCAAAGTCAAAGCTCAAGAGTCAACATCAAGACCCTTAAGTCTACTGCACATGGATTTATTTGGTCCAGTAGACCCAGTAAGTATAAGTGGTAAGAAATATACTTTGGTTGTTGTTGATGATTTTTCCAGGTACACATGGACAATATTCATCAAGAAAAAGGATGAAGTCTTATCAAAGTTTCCAGAGCTATTAAAGCTACTACAAGTCGAAAAAGACATGAAGATTGCAACAATACGAACCGATCGAGGAACAGAGTTCGTGAACAGAGTGTTTCAATCTTACTGCAATTCACAAGGAATTTTACATCAATTGTCTGCTGCACGAACACCGCAACAAAATGGTGTAGCTGAAAGAAGAAATCGAACACTCAAGGAAGCCGCACGAGTCATGATAACGGCCGCCGGACTACCAAAAAGATTTTGGGCAGAAGCAATTAACACGGCGTGCTATACTCAAAATCGCAGTCTAATCCACAAGTCTTATAACAAAACACCATATGAATTATGGAAAGGGAGAAAATCCAATCTCACCTATTTTCATACATTTGGTTGTAAATGTTTTGTACTTGTTAATGGAAAGTCTCAATTAAAGACTTTTGACGAGCGAGCGAACGAAGGAACATTCTTAGGATATTCATCCACCAGCAAGGCGTATAGAATATTCAACATATCAACCATGGTGGTAGAAGAATCGATTCACGTTGTGTTCGATGAAAATCACAACAATAATGGCAAAAATGGTGAAGGTAATCGTGATTTAATTAATTCTAATGACAATTTCGAAGATAATGTGTTGCAGGAAGTAGAAGAATCAAGTGATATGGGTATTCACCAAATTGAGGCAATATCCAATGTGATACCCGAAATATCACGTACAACCGAAATTGCACCCAGAACTCAAGAAGAAGAAATTCCAGTAGATGAACAAGAAGATGTACCCATCAACAATTCGCAACAAAGGGAATCACATCAAGTATTCCAACAAGAAGGAAACTCTGAGAATCCAACAGGTTTCCAACCAAATCGAAAATGGCTAAGAAGTCACACACATGACTTAGTCATTGGAAATCCAAGTGACGGAGTAAAAACGCGATCATCTACTAGGAACCTACAACAAGATGCAATGTTCTCATGCTTTTTTTCATAACTGGAGCCAAAAGAAATTGACGAAGCTTTAGCCGATCCAAGTTGGATAGATGCCATGCAAGAAGAATTGGATCAATTCAAGCGCAACGACGTATGGAAACTTGTTCCTAGACCAACGCACCAAAATGTAATTGGCACTAAATGGGTCTTTAGGAACAAAGCAAACGAAGACGGCGTCATTGTTAGGAATAAAGCAAGATTAGTTGCGAAGGGATATTCACAAGAAGAAGGCATTGATTTTGATGAGACATTCGCCCCCGTCGCACAACTTGAAGCAATCCGGATATTCCTAGCATATGCAGCGCACAAGAATTTCATTGTATATCAAATGGACGTAAAGAGCGCATTTCTTAATGGCTTAATTGAAGTCTACAAATTAAAGAAGGCATTGTATGGGTTAAAACAAGCTCCGCAAGCTTGGTACGAAACCTTGTCAATGTTCTTAATTAGGTGTGGATTCACCAAAGGTCTAGTCGATAAAACACTCTTTAGAATTCAAGAAAATAATCACATTTTATTAGTACAAATTTATGTTGATGATTTTATCTTTGGAAGTACTGATAAATCTTTATGTGAGAAATTTTCTAAGCTCATGCAGAACAGGTTCGAGATGAGTATGATGGGAGAATTAAATTACTTTTTGGGACTGCAAGTCAAGCAACTTGAAGAAGGAATTTTCATAAATGAAGCCAAGTACACAAGAGATCTTATCAAGAAATTTGGCATAGATGGAAAATCCTCAGTCAAAATTCCCATGAGTACATCTCAAAAATTGGATAAAGATGATAAAGGAAAAGACGTCGATCAAACGATGTATCGAGGGATGATTGGATCGTTACTATACTTAACCGCAAGCAGACCGGACATATCCTACTCGGTTGGCGTATGTGCAAGATTCCAATCAAAGCCCAAAGAAAGTCATCTGATTGCAACCAAGAAGATAATTCGATATCTCAAATGAACAATCAATGTGGGATTATGGTATCCCAAAGAAGGAGATTTTACACTAACTGGTTATTCATATGTAGATTTTGTAGGTTGTAAAATAGACCGAAAAAGTACCTCAGGGACATGCCAGTTCTTAGGGGGAAGATTGGTCTCTTGGTTAAGCAAAAAGCAAAACTCCATAGCTACGAGCACTGCCGAAGCCGAATATATTGCAGCTGGGAGTTGTTGTGCACAAATCTTGTGGATGAAGCAACAATTATTGGACTATGGGATTAAGTGCGAAAATGTTAGCATTTTATGTGATAATACAAGTGCAATCGCCATAACCCAAAATCCAGTGCTTCATTCGCGAACCAAGCATATCGACGTTCGACACCATTTTATCCGAGACCACGTCGAAAAGAAAGATTTGAAAATCGATCATGTTCCCACGGAGAATTAAATTGCCGACATTCTCACAAAGCCGTTGTGTGAATCTCGTTTTGCAACTCTAAGGCATGAAATGGGAATGATCGAAATGAGCTAAGCAATTTCTAAACTCCTTATTTTTTATTCGCACTGTGCATGTTGCATGTGAATTATGTGATCTACATGCTTAATTTAATTGTGTATGTACGTGTGATATGTGTTTGGTTGTGTACATGTTTTCGTAAAATTTATATGTGACTAAATGTGTTATAATTTTATCTTACGAAATCTGCGTACCTAAATTTGCGATTTATTTATGTGATACGTATGTCTATTTAATTTGTCACGTTTTAGCATAATTGATTTGTGTAATTTGTTTGCTAAATGTGTTTAATTAAATTAATTTTATTTAAGTATGTAATTTAGGGGGAATGTTCTTTTAATTGGGTTAATTTTGTTAAGTATATGATTTTATGTGCCTAATTGGGTTTGCATGTTAAAGAAACTAATTCTGATGAAAAATTGCCCATATCTTGCAATTCAAATGTCAAAAAGGTTAGGCCCATTTGCAAAAGTCAAATTACTTTTAAATGTTTTTGGAACTTGGAATTTTTCTTTTCAGATATTAGGTATCTGTCTGATCAATTTATTTCTTATCAGTTTTTATTTCAGATAATATCAGCTTTATTGAAATATGAAATCGAGACGATAATATTTATTTGGAATATATTTATTGGTCTAACAGATTATTTTCGAGTTTTTTTTTATCTGATTTGCTCCAGGTTGGCGGTTTTTTGAAGCACAATTTTTGGCGCCATGTACTCACAAATTGAGTATATAAATCTGAGCTGGCAAATTTAAATCATGTGGAAGGTCGAATTTATCCTCAAAGAGATTAATACTCTCTCTCTACCCACTAGAGGGCAAAAGAGTAATTTCTCACCCTTCTCCCTCAATTCTAACGGGTAGAATTGGAAATCAAGAAGAACACAAATTCTCTTCTTCCTTCTCTCTCGCCGGCCGGAAAAACGCACAAGAAGAAACCAAAAATCTCCCAATGCTGAAACACCCACTCTAAATCTTCTACACAAAACTCTTCTACACACAACAATCCATCACCCAAACCCAAGAACCTACCCAAATAACTTCTCTATCGAAATACCCATTCCGTTTTACCCTTTTTCGGACCTCACTGCCGAAACACCCAATTTTCACCCAAAAATTCCTAAATTCAATTTCTACTCAATGGATGCCAATCAAGTGGATGTGGAAACAATCACCACCGGAGGAACAAGGAAGTCTAGCAATGTGCTTAGTGGAATGATCCTTGATGTCACCGACTTCAATAAGCAAGTGGAGGACAAATCTATTAGGGTAAAAATTATCAACTCTCTCGAATCTTATGGGTTGTTAAATTTTTGCACTTTTAGATATGTTGGTTTCTATAAAGATGAGGTGACCGAATTATACATGAATGCTAGAGTAGAAAATGGCTCAATTATTTCTATGATCAAAGGTGTTGATGTAGAAATAGAACTCGAAGATTTTCGGAGAATGTTTAATCTTGTTGAAACGGGTTTGAGAGTAGAAAATTATGTGCATGATGTTAATGCCATTTGGGCCGAGATTCGCGATGCTAACGCACCGCTATCTCCGAAGATTAACGGCAACAAGAGGGGTTTAAAGAAGGATTACGGGTTGTTGTTGGATATTATTCATAAATGTGTAGAGTCCCGGTATCATTGCCGTGACAAATTGTCGGGGGATAAGTTGTTGATTATGGACATTATTTTGAACAATGTTTGTGTGGATTGGGGTGCATTTATGTTTGGAAGGTTGTGTGAGTCTTTGAAGAAGGCGAAGCCGTTAGTAGATGGATGGTTTCAACAGGAGATTGGTTACGGGTTTGCCGTTGGTGAAATTTTGAGAACCAAAAATGTTACCCTTACCAAAGCCAAACACATTGCAAACCATAGCTATCTCTTTCAGCCACCCAATTTGAATGAACCAAAAAATCCCACCTTACCCACAAGCCTACCAAAACCCACCCGAAAAAGAAAATTGCCCAACCCCTTCCAAGACCTTAAACAATATATCCGAGAACCTAGCAATGAAGGATCGAACAACCTTGCCGTTCGATCAAATGAAGAACAAACTAGCCATCAAAATTCTAGACCTTTACCCACTCAAAACCCGAACCATCCTATCCTTGAGAGCCACGGATTTGTTGAGGAAAATAGAGTGGAAATTGATGTTGTTGTAAGTGACATAGTTGAAGTTGGAAGTGATGATGAGATATCAACAATTGGGGCGGATAGTGCACTTTTGGAGGAGTATAAAAGAGCACTTGAATGGAGAGCATGGAGATTAGGAGACCATAACAAGTTGGCCGAAACTATAGGGCCAAATACTTTGGAAAGAGAAGAATTGGTGTTGTGTTGGTTAGGCTCACGTGACCTTGCTAGAGCTACCCGTCTTTCGGTGATTATTTCTCGCTTTTTGACTAAGCTTGCCAAGAAGAAGAGAACCGAAAAAGGTGTTATGGTTGAAGCCACATCCGAAGTGCCCATAGGTGAATTTGACCCAAATGATATTCGCCGGGCAACCGTTTTGTCTTTGGAGGATAGCCAAAGAGGACCCGGAGAGGGATCTTTGGTGAGGAATGATGATGTAGGGCTCCCGGAGATTGATCCGTATCCTGCAAATGTTGGGGATGAAAATTTGAGTTTTGAGTCTTATTTTCCACACCCCGAAACGGAGGTTACGGGGTCCATTCATGAGGAAGGAAATGCACCAAGTCAAGGGATTTCTTTAAACTTGGATGAAACAAGGAACTTGCCTACTTTGCCACCTTCTTATGAGTTCTATGATCAAGATCATCCAAGAAATCGGTCTACTTTGTTACTTTGCTACAACACCGAAGAAGCCGAAGCCAACCTTGTTGACACAATGATCACCACACCACAAGATGATTTTGCACACCATTTGCCGATTCCAACCCCACCCGTACAAAGGGAACAAACGTTTAATGCTCAAGCCATAAGAGAAGAGATTGTTGGGGATGTTAAGTCTATTCTACAAGAATCTACGGGTGGATTGAACACTAAAATGGATGCAATGGATACCAAGCTTGATGGTTATCACAAGGAGATGGTGGACCATGCTCAACAATTGTTTAATAGGCAAGGCCTATCGAAAAACGAAATTGACACGGCAAAGAATGAGTTGAAGAATGATGTAATGAAGTTGTTCAATGAAATGGGAAAACATGGGTCCGAGACTACTTCAAGACTCAAACTTTTGGAACAACAAGTGCAAGGATTACTTCAACAATCACATATCAACATGGATCTTCTTGAAGGAGTTCGTGACAAGCAAGATTCTTCCACCAAAAGCTTTCAAAGGTTCATGGATGCTGCCGAAAAGGGGGAAGGATTAACACGTCATTATGTGCCACAAGCTTATGCCTATACACAGCTGAGAGCTCCACGTCCAAGAGGACCCTTTGTGGAACTTGTTCGACCGTCAACAACACCTAGAAGCCGAGGGAGCATGATGGACTATTATAAAGAAACTCGTCCTAGCTCGAGTTCAACCTCTCATCGTGTGTTGCCACCTACGCCGATTGCACCAATGCCACCAATGCCGAAGCCAATTGCTACAAGGATACAAAATTGCAAGAGCTTCAAACGGAGTTCGGACACCGAAGTGAGCAAATGAGCGATGGCCGAACACTTGATGAGTGCATCTTTTGGCATGAAGCTGGAGTGTTGAAAGGAGACAACATAAGAGAAGCTTATGGCAACTACATCACCGGACAAGTAGCCGCACCGTATCAACACAAAGGACTAGAGAAGGACTTCAAGAAATTTAGAGAATTCATCAATGCCAAGTTGAAAGGGAGGTAACAAATTTGGTTGACAAACTCAATTTTTGGTGTATAATATATTTTAGCTAGCACATTACTCTTTGATATCATATCTATGCTAAGCTAAAATGGGTTGAAAATGCATGACAATATTTCGTACCATACTAATGTGTCTTAGTTAATTTATTCATTTTGTGTTTTTATGTCACAAGATTTTAATTTGGACTTAGAATTAATATTGTAACACGTATAAAATGAGGACATAAAATTTAGGGGGAAAAAAAATTCAAGCTAAAAGAAAATTGAACACCCCACGCTCAAAGTCTTATTTATACGGTTAGGTTGTCCGAATTTTAAAATCTCTAAGTCACAATTTTTGTTAAACCCGTCAATTGGCTAGTCGAAATAAAAGCAATTAAAAAGAAATTATTTTTCAAAGTTGACAAAGCCAAAATGACTTGGGTATAAGTTTCGACATCATCAAAAAGGGGGAAATTGTTAGGAATATTTTGTAAATTTTGATGAGCCGAATGTATTTTTGATAAATCAAGTAGTCCCCATTTTTATTCTATTTGAGTCAGTTTAAGTCTACAGAGTATGGTGCACCCATATCATGCAACCCATGTACAAGTCTGGAAAATCACAAGTTGATTTTAGATGTTATGCGGGATTATAGCTTAACACAATTATGATGCGGATAAATCACTAAGAATCATGCTAGAGGAGTTAGAAGAAATGCGTGTGAGCTATGCTAAGTGATCTTAAGTTCAAATCTCAAGTGAAGCATTTTTAACTTGCTTGGGAGACTAGCTTGGACCGTATGGGAGACTAACCTCCACCGTATGAGAGACTAGCCCAAACCGTATGGGAGACTAGCTCGAGTGTATTGGACCGTATGGGAGACTAGCTCGAGTGTATTGGAGACTAGCTAAAGCTTGGACGCTAGCTTGGAGACTAACTGAGAGACTAGCTAACATGGAGACTCCAATATGGAGACTAAGTAAGGTGAATGCACAAGTCTCACAAGAACCATGCACCAGATGAAGAAACACACCAAGTATGATGGACCAAGCCTAAAATCGAAACAGAGCATCTCATTATGAACAAACTGTGAAGTTTTTACAGAGGTTCCAGTATACTATTTTACAAGGATCATGAAGGAGAAAATATCTGATATATTTTCATCTGAACATCAAGTTTTTACGGTGGAACCGGAGACGCTCGAAGAAGGCTGATTCGCGGAGAAATTATTTTATACTCAAGCAAGAATCAACAGATAAATTATTTGATCAACTTGACATGTCAGAGCATTTATGAAGGACAAGAAATATCAAGCTTGCCGCGCCGAACTTATTCAAATTTTGGAGGCTACAAAATTTAAGACACGACAACGGGCAAATTATTCAAATCATCTGACAAAAGGAGAAAAGGCATCTACCTAATATTTCAGATCAAGTTGACAATATCTTTTGATCAACTACAATTCAAAATGGACGATCGAGATCGAAAGTTGATCAACGGGCAAATAGCTTTCACTAGCTATAATTGTCCAAGCAGACTTGAAGACAAAAAGAACCCCAGAGCGATTGAGCAGTTCAACAACTTGAACAACGGCTAAGACATACAAGCAAAAGATATAATCTAATTTTTCAATTAGCCGAAAAAGGGGGAAACAGAGCTTCATAGAATTACATTCAAGTCTGAGTGAGAGAAAAATTTTATCTCTTCGTAGACTTCCCTACTGAGGTGTAGAAAGAGGGCGGAGTAACTAGAGAGAGTGAAAAACTCTGGTTGAGTGTAGCTTTGTGCGTAGCACTCGTTGTAAAGGGCAGAGTAACAAGAGAAGCTTGTGAAAACCCTGTGAGGACGTAGCTTTGTGCGTAGTTCTCGTGGTGTAGGAGTACATCTTGGTGCGAAGTACTCGGGAAGGCGGAGTAACAAGAGGAGCTTGCGAAAAACCTTGGAGGAGTGTAGCTTTGTGCGAAGCACTCGGAGAAGTGTCGGTGGACACTTATTCAATATTGTAACTGGGTGATCGAAGAATAGTGAATTTCCTCCTTGAAGTGAAAGGAGAAGAGTGGACTAGGAGGATTACACCACCTCTGAACCACTATAAATCTCTCTCTCTCTATTTACTTACTGCTCATATATATTTTGTGCATGCTTATTCTAACTGCGAACTAACCCGATTACGATTTATCGCATATCTTTATCTGTCTGGGTTTGATAGTTCCCACGTTTGCATGCAAGCCAAAATTTACGTACATCATCCTTGAACCATATCAAGTGTTTCTAACGTGTTGCATGTTTAGAATCTCTCTTTGAACACCGCACTAATTGAGCATAACACTTTACCGCTACTTATTCCACTGCACACTCTAAGTTGTTTATCTTGTTGATGCTTGTTACTTAGAGTTGAAATTACCAAAGTGTTATTTGCCTTGTGTGTTTTCGAAGAAAGTTTGAAAAGTTAGAGAAGTCTATTCACCCCCCCCCCCCCGCCTCTAGACTTCTCACCACCCTTTCGGGACCAACAAGTGGTATCAGAGCAGTTGTCTATTTGAGTCAATTTTGACTGCTAGATAGATCTTAAAATCTTCAAGATGAAGAGAGATATAGCTCTGGCTCAAAATTTGCTTTTCTCACTTGATAAATTTGACGATTGGAAAATACGTATGCAGGTGCACTTATTTGCTTTAAATGATGAAATGTGGGAAGTCATCACCACTGGTCCTATCCAAATCATGGAAGCTAATACTACTACCCCACGAGATCCAAATGCTCCACGATATATTCCAAAGCCAAAAATGGAGTGGACAAAGGAAGATAGAGGACGAAATAACTTGGACAATATTGCCAAGGATATTTTGTTCAAAACGGTCGATGACACAATATTCCCAAAGATTCGAAAATGCACCACAGCAAAAGAAATATGGGATACTCTCATTAGTATCGGTGAAGGCGATGAACAAGAAAAAGACAACAAACTAACCATTGCCATGAAGAGATTCGAAGATTTCAAAATGCTACCGAACGAAAGCATCACCGACATGGAAGCTCGATTGATCAAAATCCTTGGAGAAATCACGATTCTGGGAAAGACCATTACCCAGAAAGAAATATCGCTCAAAGTGTTACGCGGATTACTTACAAATTGGGATATGAAGGTGACCGCAATGCGCGATCATAAAGATCTAAGGACATTATCTACGGATAAACTCTTTAGTGATCTTAAGACGTATGTGTTCGAAATGAAGACACGAGTCGAGGAAGAACGTGATGAACGAACATCCGCATTGATGGCCGAACAACCTTCTTCATCAAGGTCAGTAGTAAATAATGATTTTTTATCTGACGAACAATTTTCTTTATTTGTTAGGAAATTCAAGAAGTTCATGAGAAAGAACAAAGGATCACCACAAGGAAATTTCATTCGAGAAAATAGAAGATCAAGAAGGGAACCGGTCGAAGATAACACAAACGTGTGTTACAATTGTAGAAAGCCTGGACATTTTATGGCCGAATGTCCGCACCCCAAGGCGGACAAAAATTCGAATACTTCTCCACAAGTGGAATACAAATCCAAAGAGAAGAAATTCAAAAAGGGCAAATGGAAGGCACTAATAAGTGATCCGTTAGAGGCAAGTGAATCCGAAGAATCATCTAGTGACGAGAGTGATTCATCACAAGAAGATACGGCGCTACTATGTCTAGTGGGCAAAACATCCAAACATGAGGAATGCTACATAGCGCGTGAAACTGACGAAGAGGTATCTTCTAGCTCTTTTAGTTCCGTTGACACTTCTTTCCAGACTCAAGAATCATTTCAAAGTCTTATAGAAGATTGTCAAAAAGTCATGCCCACTCACAATCAAATCAAAGAGCGCAATAATACGTTAATTCTTGAAAAGGAAGAAGTGTCACAAAAATTGCAAAATGCTCTAAATGAAATGAGTAATTTGAAAGCCGAAAATATTCGACTACAAGAAGAGTGCAAAGCTAGAGAGGTTCGAGAACATAACCTTCGGGAAGTAATCGCATCATTTACAAATTCATCCAAAATAATGGATAAAATGGTAAACATGCAGAAACCCGCTGGAGATAAAGCCGGACTAGGCTACGATCTATCATGTTCTCAAACCCCTGTGAAACTGACTAATTCTACTACTACTTTAATTAATAAAGTTCCAGTGGTAAAATTTGTGAAAAGTCAGTATAGCACAATGAGACAAGGAGTTGGTAATCAAATAAATTCCCAATAAAATGTTTCAAGGCCGAATCCAAAAATTAATATCTCGGATAGGCAACAAAATTTTAAGAGGCAAAAATTTGTATCTCCAAAGAGAGCCAACGAGTCTAGTGCAACAAAACCTCATAGGAATATGGGAAGAATTCCGAGAATTGGGGCTGGGAGATTATATCCCTCAGAACAAGATTGGTCGCTTGATGACAAACCATGGATCAAGTCCAGATTTGCTCAACAATTTCAAGGATTGGCAAGGGGTCAACAACGGATAGATTGAGCATCAAGAACTCTAACCTCAATCCAACAACCAAGAACTCAACAACTAACTCCAAACACCAACTAACACACTAGCTAAGCCACAAGGCAACAAGCAAAACAAGCAAGCACACAAAGCACACAACAACCTAGGAAAACGAGATACCTTCCACAAACAACTCAGGGTATCGCTCTCGCATCGATGCCTCCAGCTCCCAAGTAGCTTCTTCAACCCCATGATGAGACCACCAAACCTTTATCATCTTAACAGATTTCCTACGAGTGTCCCGAGTCTTGAAGTCCAAAATTCTGAGCGGCCTTTCTTCGTAAGACAAATCGTCATCTAACGGTATCACTTTTGGTGGTAAAACATGAGCCGGATCGTGAACATATTTCTTGAGCTGCGATACATGAAACACATTAAGCACTCTATCCAACTCCAAAGGCAACGCCAAACGGTAAGCCAAATTCCCAATCCTCTCCAAGATTTCATACGGGCCTATAAACCTAGGGTTTAACTTCCCTTTCTTCCCAAACCGCATTACTCCCCGGGTGGGAGATACCTTCAACCAAACCTTATCCCCAACCGAAAACTCCACCTGTCTTCTAGCCAAGTCAGCATAAGACTTTTGGCGATTCTGAGCCACTTTCATCCTTTCCTGAATTCATTTAACTTTCTCGGATGTGTCCAACAAGTATTGTGGTCCCAACACTATCGGATTAACGAGATCCTCCCAACAAAGCGGACTATGACACTTCTGTCCATAGAGAGCTTCATAAGGTGCCATGCGGATACTCGAATGATAACTGTTGTTGTAAGAAAACTCGATCAAATCCAGATGGTCCTCCCAAGACCCTTGAAAATCCAACATACAAGCTCTCAACAAATCCTCGATAGACTGTATAGTCCTTTCTGTTTGTCCATCGGTGGCTGGGTGGAAAGCTGTACTGAGACTTAGCTTAGTTCCAAGAGCTGCTTGCAAAGATTTCCAAAATTGAGACAAGAACCTTGAATCTCTATCGGAGACAATATCCCTCGGAACTCTATGATACTTTACCACTTGGTTGACATAGGCTTGAGCCAACTGTGTCATTGTCCAGGTCTCCTTCATAGCAATAAGACGGGCAGTCTTGGTCAAACGATCAACTATCACCCAGATTTTGTCCTTAATCGAACGGGTCGTCGGTAATCCTCCCACGAAATCCATAGATATAGAATCCCATTTCCCTTGTGGAATTTCTGACGGTTGTACCAACCCCTTAACTTTACAACGTTCCGCTTTAACTTTCTGGCAATTAAGGCATTTCCCAACAAACTCTGCAACTTCCCTCTTCATGTTAGGCCACCAGAAGAAACCCTTCACGTCCTTGTATAACTTGTCCCCTCCGGGGTGAACCGAATAGGGTGTGTTATGACCTTCTTCCAAAATTCGTCGCTTCCACTTATCACATGACGTGGGTATGCACACACGGCTTTTGTACCTCAACACCCCATCCGCAGACAACTCAAACGGTCCCCCTTTTCCTCTAGCTAGGTCATCCCTTACCTTGGTCAAAAACATATCCTTTTGCTGCTCTTCCTTGATTTCTCCCAAAAACGTAGGTACAATCCTCAAGTTATAACAACGAACTTCTGCCTCCACATCTCCTTGATCCACCACTTCCAAGCTCATCTGTTGAAGCTCCTTACAAAGCTCATCCGCCACCACCCAAATAGAACTAGCGGTATGCTTCGATTTCCGACTTAAGGCGTCCGCCACCACATTAGCTTTTCCTTCGTGATACTGAATATCTAACTCATAGTCCTTGATGAGTTCTAACCACCTTCGTTGTCGCATATTGAGGTTCTTTTGGGTGAAGATATATTTGAGACTCTTGTGATCCGTGAATATCTTGCAACGCACCCCATATAGATAATGCCTCCAAATTTTCAAAGCAAACACCCCAGCGACCAATTCCAAATCGTGGGTAGGGTAATTCTCTTCGTGAACCTTAAGCTATCGTGAGGCGTAAGCAATCACTCTCCCGTTTTGCATCAATACACAACCTAGTCCCTTCTTGGATGCATCACTGTATACCTCAAACCCTTCCGTTCCCGATGGTAAAATCAAAACTGGTGCAAACGTGAGCCTCTCCTTCAAATCTCGAAATGTTGATTCACAAGCTTGATTCCAAACGAAATGCACTTCTTTTCTTAACAACTTAGTCAACGGTTGAGCCACCTTGGCAAAATCTAACACAAACCTTCGATAATAACCCGCTAATCCAAGAAAACTTCTTACTTCCGACACCGATGAAGGTGCAGTCGATTCCTTCACTGCCGGTATCTTGTCCGGATCCACAGAAATCCCCCTACTATCAATCACGTGGCCTAGAAACGTCACACTGTCCTTCCAAAACTCGCACTTAGAGAACTTGGCGTACAGCTGCTTTTCCCGCAAGATTTGAAGTACCGTCCGAAGATGTCCAACATGCTCTCTCTTATCTTTCGAATAAACCAAGATATCGTCGATGAACACGATCACAAAATCATCGAGGTGAGATTTGAACACTCTGTTCATCAGATCCATAAAAAACTGCAGGAGCATTAGTCAAACCGAAAGGCATTACCGTAAACTCGTAGTGACCGTACCGAGTCCGAAACGCAGTCTTAGGGATATCCTTGTGTGCTACCCTTATCTAATGGTACCCTGACCTCAATTCAACTTTAGAGAACACTCCTACGCCACGAAGTTGATCAAACAAATCATCAATTCTTGGAAGGGGGTATTTGTTCTTGATGGTAACTTGATTCAGCTCCCGATAGTCGATACATAACCTCATACTCCCGTCCTTCTTCTTTACAAACAACACCGGAGCTCCCCAAGGCGATGCACTTGGCCGGATATAACCCTTGTCCAGGAGTTCTTGCAACTGAGCCTTCAACTCTTGCATTTCAGGCAGAGCCAAACGATACGGAGCTTTAGAGATGGGTGCAGTGCCCGGCATAAGATCCACTGAAAACTCCACTTCCCTAGCGGGCGGCATACCCGATATTTCTTCGGGAAAAACATCAAGAAACTCGTGGACCACAGGTATCGATTGAGCTACTTCCTCCTTTGCCTTCAAGTTCTCAACGGAGCACAAGTACACATCATTGCCTTTGTCCATATACCTCTCCATCTTTACATAGTCACCAGCTTAATTCCGGGTTCTTCCATCTTTCCACGATATGACACTCTTTTCCCGCTGGGTCCTCATAGCACTACCCCGATATGATACCCTTAGGTCATTTTACATGTTAATCTAAACAGCTAATTTTTTCAAATATCTTTTTACCAACTGTTGATATAATTCGTTGGTCAAATCCGCTAATATAATCCGCTAACGCTAACCGCTAACTGCTGATTGTCAAACAAAGACATTGCGAGGTAGTTCTCACTTTAATTTGTTGTGTTATTTGAATATTCTCTTTGTCAACAAATCCCTCAAGTCGTTAATGTGATTGACTTTATTAATTATATATATTTTTAAATTTTTTCATGGTGTTAATAAAATACTTGGTAAATAAATATATAGCATTATTTTGTATTATAACTTTGACATTTAATTAAAAAATTAGTGCACAAAAAAATTAATAGACAATGTAGTGAATATAATCAATTGATGAATTTGAATGTAAAGAATTTTTACATTGGAGTAAAATAAAGACAATATACCTATATAAAATTATTTCTCTTAATTAATTTATTGATAATGAATAATTTATTTTTTTTAAATAAAGACATTGTAGGGACAATGTAGCGAATATAATCAATTGATGAATTTGATGTTGGAAAAAATAGCTTAAAATGGCATAAAATGGCATGTTAAGTGGCTATTTTGTGGTACAATTATCAGTGGGGTCCACTTCCAATTTGGGTCGGGTTAAAGTGGATTCGGATTCTTCGTAGTGAGACGAAGAGATCGATATATTGTACGCTCAAAACGGATAATGGGTGAATGAGATATTGATTCTCAAAGTAGACCCATTTGAGTTGGAAAATGAAGGGAAAAAAGTGAGCTTTTTGTCCCACATTGCTTTGGAATGAAGATTTTTCCCCCTTATATACAAGAGCTCTTTTGAAGCTTGTAGAATTGTATAGCATAGAGGCTCTCTCGCGCGGGGGGGGGGGGGGGGGTGCAAATCAAATTCCAACTAGCAGAGTTTGAAAAAGGCTTGATTCAAGCCCGAGCTCGTGTGCGCCGGCACCTGGGGGCACGAATGTCGTCTGAAAATTGGCTGGCCTTGCGGGCTTATTTTATTTATTTTCCCGTTGGTGGTCTTCTCCGAATTTCCTTGAAGAAAAATGGAGCATCCCGTACTGCCAATTGATGGGGAGGATAATGTTGTTGCGGACAACAATGGAAGAAACGGCAACAATAACGTTGTTGCGGATAACAGTGGAGGGAATGGCAACAATGTTGCTAATTTCCAAGCTACACCAGTGAACGTTGGTTCACAAGATGGTGGGAGCACTGAGGGATATATTCCCATGTCTCGGGTACCTTCGGTACCGAGTGGTTCGGCTGAAAAGCCGGAGAAGTTCACCGGTGTTGGTTCGAACTTCAAGAGGTGGCAACAGAAGATGTTGTTCTACCTAGCAACTCTCGGCCTGGCAAGGTTCTTGTCCGAGAGTGTTCCCGAGTTGAAGGAACAAGATGCACAATCCGTGATGGCGGTTGGCTATTGGAAGGATTCGGACTTCCTTTGCCGAAACTACATCCTGAATGGATTGTGTGACACGTTATATGATGTATATCGAAAGATAAGCACATCAAAAGAGTTGTGGGAAGCTTTGGATCATAAATACCGAAGTGAGGATGCCGGCTCAAAGAAATTTGTGGTTGGCCGATTCCTCGACTTCAAAATGGTTGATTCAAAGACCGTGCTAAGTCAGGTAGAAGATTTGCAATTAATCTTTGATGAGATCCGTGATGAGGGCATGGTGCTAAGTGAAGCCTTCCAAGTGGGATCTGTGATCCATTTGTTGCCTCCAGGGTGGAAGGACTTCAAGAACTACCTTAAGCATAAGCGAAAGGAGATGAATCTGGAGGACCTGATCCAGCGACTCAGGATTGAGGAAGGGAACGGGACGAATGATAGGAAGGCTCCTATCGTTGTTGGCGCTAAGGCCAATGTTGTGGAGCACGGTAAGAGCTCCAAGAGGAACAAGAAGGACAAGCGAAAGCTAGGTCCGAAAGGTGGCGTTACCAAGAACAAGTTTCCTGGTGAATGCTACAATTGTGGCAAGCATGGCCACAGAGCATCTGAATGCAAGGCTCCAAGGAAGAAGAACAAGAGTTCTGAAGCCAATGTTGTTGGAGATAGCAATCAGAAAGAGGTCGAGATTAGCCTTTCGGCTATGGTGACCGAGGTGAACCTCGTGGGCTCAAACCCTCGTGAATGGTTCATTGATACCGGTGCAACCAGGCACTTGTGTTGCAACCGAGAGATGTTCAACACCTTTGAGACCGTTGATGGTGAAAAGGTGTTGATGGGAAACTCTGCTCAGTCTGCTGTGGAAGGCATGGGCAAGGTGGTTCTGAAGATGACTTCCGGGAAGGAACTAACGTTGAACAACGTGCTGTATGTTCCTGAGCTAAGTAAGAATCTTGTGTCTGGCTCTCTGTTGAACAAGCATGGCTTTCGCATGGTGTTCGAGTCAGACAAAGTAGTTTTGTCCAAGTTAGGGATGTTTGTTGGTAAAGGATATGTAACTGATGGGCTCTTTAAGCTCAATGTAATTCTTGTTATCAATAAAAGCAAAGTTAATTCTGTTTACTTGCTTGAGTCTTCCAGTTTGTGGCATGGTAGACTAGGTCATGTTAATTTTAATTCTATTTTGTAGATTAATTAGCATGGACCATATTCCTAACTTTCAAATTGACACAAATAACAAGTGTGAAATTTGTGTTGAGGCAAAACTAACGAAAGTACCTTTCAAGTCGGTTGAAAGGGAAACTGAACCACTAGAATTAATCCATAGTGATTTGTGCGATTTTAGATCGATACAAACGAGAGGTGGTAATAAGTATTTTATCACATTTATCGACGATAGCACATGATACTGCTATGTGTATTTGCTTAAGAGCAAAGACGAAGCCGTTGATAAATTCGTTCTTTATAAGAATGAAGTGGAAAACCAACTTAATCGAAGTATTAAGAAGGTTAGAAGCGATAGAGGTGGTGAGTACGAAGCACCTATTGGTGACTTCTGTGCAAGTGTAGGTATAATACACGAGCGTACTGCACCTTACTCACCTCAATCGAACGGTGTTGCCGAACGAAAGAATCGTACATTGAAAGATATGATGAATGCGATGCTTATAAGTTCGGGCCTACCTCAAGATGCTTGGGGTGAGGCGATTTTGACAAGTAACTACCTTTTGAATAAGGTACCCTAAAAGAAGCTCGATAAGACTCCTTATGAGCTGTGGAACGATAGGAAACCTTCCTACCAGTACCTGAAAGTGTGGGGGTGTCTTGCCAAAGTTTTGGTGCCAACACCTAAGAAAGTAAAGATAGGTCCTAAGACGGTGGACTGTATCTTTATTGGCTATGCACATAATAGTAGTGCTTATCGGTTCTTAGTACACGAGTCCAATAATCCGGATGTACACGAGAACACGATAATAGAATCAAGTAATGCATATTTTTTCGAAAATATATTTCCTTGTAGGTCCAACGAGGGACCAAGTACGTCAAAACGAACGTTTGACGAAACTATGGATAATGATAGTGGGGAATCCGAGAGAGAACCCGAGCTCGAGCCGAGACGCAGTAAGCGGGCGAGAGTTGGAAAATCATTCGGTCCTGATTTTCTAACTTACTTGTTAGAGTACGATTCGGGTACTCTAACTTGTTTATTAGAAAATGAACCCGATCTTCTATCTTGTTTGATAGAGAACGAGCCTCGAACGTATGTAGAAGCCGTGACTTCTACGGAAGGACCAATGTGGAAAGAGGCTATAAAAAGTGAAGTGGATTCTATTCTACAGAATCACACTTGGGAACTGGTTGATCTTCCTCCGGGTAGTAAACCCTTAGGATCCAAGTGGGTCTTTAAAAGGAAGATGAAATCGGACGGTTCCATCGAGAAGTATAAGGCTAGGCTTGTGATCAAGGGTTACAGGCAACGCGAGGGCCTCGATTACTTCGACACGTATTCTCCCGTGACGAGAATAAACTCCATTAGGATGATACTTGCCATAGCCGCGTTGCGGAACTTGGAAGTTCATCAAATGGATGTGAAAGTGTGCAAGTTGGTTAAATCGCTATATGGTTTGAAACAAGCGCCCAAGCAGTGGCACGAGAAGTTTGACCACGCGATGTTAACTAACGGGTTTAAAATAAACGAAAGTGACAAATGCGTCTACGTTAAGGAAACGATAGATGGCTATGTCATCCTTTGTTTATATGTCGATGATATTCTCATCGTTGGTAGTAATGATCGGATGATCAAGTCTACCAAAAACATGTTAAATGCAAGATTTGACATGAAGGATATGGGTTTGGCCGATTTAATCCTCGGGATTAGAATCATTAGAAGACCTGATGGTCTCGTGTTGAGCCAATCACATTATATTGACAAAATCCTTGAGAAATTTAACAAGGATGATAGTCAAGTGGCTAGGACACCATTTGATACAAACATTCATCTAACCAAGAACCACGGAGAAGGTATTTCACAAGTGGAATATGCTCAGGTTATTGGTAGTTTGATGTATCTTATGAGCTGTACTAGGCCGAATATTGCCTATGCGGTTAGTAAGCTCAGTAGATATACGAGTAACCCCGGTGCTATGCACTGGAAGGCAATAGTAAAGGTTATGAGATACTTGAGGTATACTCGTGATCTTGGACTGCACTACGGGAGATATCCCGCCATACTTGAAGGGTATAGCGACGCGAATTGGATATCTGATATTAAGGACTCTAAGTCCACGAGTGGCTACGTGTTTACACTAGCCGGTGCAGCCGTTGCGTGGAAATCCTCTAAGCAAACTGTGATAGCTAGATCCACGATGGAATCTGAGCTGATAGCCTTGGACAAAGGTTGTGAAGAGGCTGAATGGCTACGCCATTTTATAGAGGATATTCCTAATTGGGAAAGACCGGTACCTCCAATATGTGTGCATTGCGATAGTCAAGCCACAATCGGGAGAGTACAGATTCATATGTATAATGGTAAGTCTAGACATGTGCGTCGTAGACATAATACCATTAGACAACAACTCACAACTAGAGTTGTCTCGATTGACTACGTAAAGTCAAAAGACAATATAGCGGATCCGCTGACCAAAGGGTTAGGAAGAGAAGTTGTGGAGAAGTTGACACGAGGAATGGGTCTAATGCCCTTGGACTAAAAAAGTTCTATAGTGGATACCCAACCTAGCTGGCACCTAGGTTCAATGGGACAACTAAATTATGGAACGGAGCGCGTCACTGTGGGGGTCTCGGACTCCCTACCAATCCTCGTTAAAACAGTGACTCCCGCAAGAGGCTAGCATGTTAATGCTTTAATGATTCTTGAGTATGCGGGATACTCGAGAAAGAATCACCTATGTTAGAGAGAAGTGAGGGTCGCTTCAAAGGAGAATTGTTGGGCACAATTCTTTAGAAACTCTCGCAGAACCAGAAACGGTGACCCACGACCAAAACGGGCACACTCATGAGAGCAAGAGCATGGTTGGGAGATTCCTATGTGAGATATGTCATCGTCTATACAAACGGCAGTCGGTTCAAAGACATCGTGTTCTACCGTACAGCCAGTAGAGTAAACATGTCTTTACGAGGGAAGGTTCAAAGGGTATAGTGACTCCCTACCTATCCTATGCATGGATCGACCGTTTGAACACAGTTGTTTCCGATTTCAAAATACCCCGAAAATCAATTTTTCATTCATGTGGGGGATTGTTGGAAAAAATAGCTTAAAATGACATAAAATGGCATGTTAAGTGGCTATTTTGTGGTACAATTATCAGTGGGGTCCACTTCCTATTTGGGTCGGGTTAAAGTGGATTCGGATTCTTCGTAGTGAGACGAAGAGATCGATATATTGTACGCTCAAAACGGATAATGGGTGAATGAGATATTGATTCTCAAAGTAGACCCATTTGAGTTGGAAAATGAAGCGAAAAAAGTGAGCTTTTTGTCCCACATTGCTTTGGAATGAAGATTTTTCCCCCTTATATACAAGAGCTCTTTTGAAGCTTGTAGAATTGTATAGCATAGAGGCTCTCTCGCGCGGGGGGGGGGGGGGTGCAAATCAAATTCCAACTAGCAGAGTTTGAAAAAGGCTTGATTCAAGCCCGAGCTCGTGTGCGCCGGCACCTGGGGGCACGAATGTCGTCTGAAAATTGGCTGGCCTTGCGGGCTAAGTTACACTACTCTCGTGTAGTGGTGCACCGAGAGCACAACTCTCGTGCAACAGAGTCCACGAGAGGTGCAAGGGCCCGAAACTGGATGAGGTCGAAAGTTGAAAGCCCGAGCTCGTGTGCGCCGGCACCTGGGGGCACGAATGTCGTCTGAAAATTGGCTGGCCTTGCGGGCTAAGTTACACTACTCTCGTGTAGTGGTGCACCGAGAGCACAACTCTCGTGCAACAGAGTCCACGAGAGGTGCAAGGGCCGAAACTGGATGAGGTCGAAAGTTGAGACCGAACCCTGTACGCTAACGGTCAGGAACCCGAAAGTTCTGACTATTGAGGGGATTGAATTCATCTGTTACGGAATTAATTGTCTATTAATTCCAATTTTGAATTCTGAATTCAATTCCCAGGTAGTGGCCTGCTGTTATAGCTGTTGGAAGGCAGCTTTAATGTCATTTTTAATTGCCATAATAAAGGCTATTGGCTCCTTCAACCCTATATAAGAGAGGGTAGAGGCAGTAGAGTTTTACACACAGAAACATAGAACACGAAAGTTCGTTTTTCAGCTTCAAAACCGCTCTGCTTCTACTATTTCTTGGCCTACTGTGTTCATAGCCATTGTCTTGCTCGTCGGATTCCTTGTTTGAGTGCTGAAACATTGAATCATTAGCAAGTTTTATCCTGGGAAGCCTAGGCCACAACGCTCCTAGCATCTTTGGGAGGTGGCAAATAAGGTTTTAAGGAAAGAGTGCTCACTCGACTCTTGCAAAAACCCAACACCAAACGCTAGCCACTTTTCTTCATCTTTTCTTCCCTTCTTTCTAGAAAATAATAGTCAATTTTATTTGATTATTATTTGTTTTCCTACCAACGGTACCAACATTTGAATGTAAAAAATTTTTATATTGGAGAAAAATAAAGACAATATAACTAATGAAATTATTTCTCTTATTTAATTTATTGATAATGAATATTTTTTTTTAATAAAGACATTGTAGACACATAATATTATAATTTAAAGAAATGCATATGTATTATTTTGTTGTTGTAGCTACTAAATTATTATTTAATTTAATAAGAGTAAAATAAAGTACTAATTATGCCAACTTTGATTGTGATGAAGTTCGAACCTAAGACCTTTCTTATTGAAATCAATGAGTAAGTTAACGGTGAACTAACAGAAATTAACAGAAAAGATAATATTTAACGGAAAAGTTAATGGATAATCATATTCATTAAGGATAAATTAGGAAATGAAAAAATTAAAATCTGATCAATCTGAGCCATTCATTTGATTAAAAAATTTGACCGTCATTTTTTTTACCCATTATAGGCCTAACTTTCTTGGGTTCTTATTAGTATATAGATATATATAGTTGAGTTCACATGAGTACCACAATATATAGAGGACTGTGCGGACTGATTACGAGCACACGATAAATTAGTATCAGGCACACAACTTAATACACAATGACACACAAGAATACATGTAAACATCAGGTTTCGAACCCAGACTCTATTAATTAACAAACATATGCACATGGCATACAAATTATGGCACACGACTACATTCGGCCATACACACGACATACAGACTAATGACATACGACTACGTCAGTCCTCACGGTCCTCTATAATATAGTGGTCCTCATTTGAACTCAACTCTCTCTCTCTCTCTCTCTCTCTCTCTCTCTCTCTCTCTATATATATATATATATATATATATATATATATATATATATATATATATATATATATATATATATAGAATCTGAGCCATTGATCTTGTTTAGATCAAGGTCCAGGATTGCAAACTTTTTTACAAAAAAAAACGCGGTGGCAATTTGGTAATTTTTGCATCTAAGTCAAATTTAAGGTGCGTAAGTTTTGTACTTAAGGTGCGTGAGTTTTGCGCTTAAGGTGCGTGAGTTTTGTGCATAATGTGCGTGAGTTTGTGTTTAAGGTGCGTGAGTTTTGTACTTAATCTGAGTAGTTGTTAAAACTTAAAGTGCGTGAGTTTTGTGCTTAAGGTGCATGGGATTTGTGATTAAGGTGTGTGGATTTTGTGCTTAATGTGCGTGAGTTTGTGCTTAATGTGAGCCATTTTAAAATTTTAAGTGCGTGGATTTTGTGCATAATGTGCTTTGTTCTGTGCTTAAGGTGCGTAGTTTATGTACTTAATGTGAGTGATTTGTGTTCTTAAGGTGCTTTGTTTGTGTGCTTAAGGTGCATGGTGATTTGTATACTTAAGGTGCGCCATGTTAATGTTTAATGTGCGTTCAACCGCACAACCGCACGGGAAGCATTACCCACACTTGAACCCTTCATATATATATATATATATATATATATATATATATATATATATATATATATATATATATATATATATATATTAAAACACTAAAACACAAAGTATTATTTGAGTATAAATGATAAAATGAATAACCTTAAAAAAAAAAAGGCTTACCTTTTTCAAGATTTTCACAATCATCAATATTTTCTTCGATTTGTATTGGTTGATTTGGTAATATCAACCAATCTTGTGTACTACAAACTAAGGCTTTCACAATTCTAGAAGTTAAGGAACTCCTAAAATGGATCTAACACTCTACCACTTGTAGTAAAAGCACTTGAAGCCACTGTTGATATTGGTACTGCTAAAACATCCCTTGCCATTTTTGAGAGAATGGACAATCTCTCATTGTTTACCTTCAACCATCTAAGGATATCAAAATCATCTTTATCATCCATAGTACTCTCACTCACATATATTTGTAGCTCAGTCTGTTTAAGGCTTCAACCACTCTCCATTCTTTGCCTTTTCAGTTCACTTTTCAACCTAGATTGTGGCTTACCAACAGTAGTAGCCTGCACATTCACTGGTTGTGGTTGAGGAGGTTGGGCAGTAGAGGGTTAACTGTTTACATTTACAGAGTATGTGGTTGCATAATCATTAAACAGCTCAACAATTGCAGTCAGATGACTCGAAATCATGAGTTCATGTGTTCAATTGCACTTTTAAAAAGTTCATGGGCCTAATTGACTTTTCACGAAATGTTCAGGGACGTATTTGACCCTTTTCACCAAGATTAAGATTAACGCGCCTAGCTGGGCGCTAGGTTTACGTCTCACACGAACCCTATATTGCTTTTTTATTTTTGTTGGTGAGTCCCACCCTGGATCCAAAAACCAAATCCTTATCTTATGAGAAATTACCAAAAAACCATTCCCTTTTGTTGAAAAACTATGGTTCAAATTTTTAGATTGCAAAAATCACTTAAAATTCATCAATACCCTAATAATGTTTTAAATTATAAAAGTTGTATTATTGTTTCTTTCGAGATATATATATATATATATATATATATATATATATATATATAGTTTTGTAAGTAATTGAAACAAGAAGGGCATTTGATCTAGTGGTATGATTCGTGCTTAGGGTTTGAGAGGTCTTGAGTTAATTCTAGGAATGTCTCAATTTTCTCCTATTTTGCACATTTCAATTCCAATTTCTCTGAATGTCTCAAGGTGCACCTTTATGAACATTTTAATTTCAGTGGAGCATATGCATGACAGATAAACATAATCCGTATTTGGTTTAAGAAAAGGTATTTCAATTGCAGATTCTCTGAATGTCTCATGGTGGACCTTTTTGAACATTTTAATTCTAGTGGAATATATGATAGATAAACATAATCCATATTTGGTTTAAGAAAAAGGTTTTGATTGTTTTTTTTAGTCTATTAAATATGATAAAAAAAAAAAAAGTACTTTTTGTAGGAACATCTAGCATTGTCAGTGAATATGATACTTCGATTAAATTAATCAAATACAAAGTAGTACACAATGATAAAATTTTAAGATAATTTTATTCGATAAAAAAGTAATTATATTCTTACCATAACCTACAACTTTATAGAATACATAATACTTGCATACTCAAACATGATATACTCTTTTTTGAACCTTTTTATTCTAGTACAATTTTTTTACAGTAAAACATAACTCATATTTTCTTTAATATGGTATGTAGTACTTCATTTTAAATCATAAAAATAATAAAAAGAGCATTTGGTCTACTGGTATGATTCTTGCTTAGGGTGTGATAGGTTTTGTGTCCAATTCTTAGAATACCCCATTTTTCTCTTATGCGAAGGGGGTATTGTAGAGGATAACGCATAATCTTCAATTTTATTGGGGTATCCCCCTCCAACAGATGTAAAAAATGATAGAATTCTAAAATAATTTTGTTCGATAAAAAAAATAATACTATATTTTCAGTATAACGTACAACTTTGAAGAATACATAATTATGGGCATAATTGGTCATGATATACTTGTTATAAGGGTTCTAATTTGTTATATTAAAGTAACAACTTCGCCAAGAATAGGTAAGTATATATTCCCTCAATTCAAATAATAATAATTGGTTTATGTTGATTGATGGCACCATTTTACATGTTTATTCATAATAAGAAAAGTAGAAAGTCAGTCATATTTATCCTCACAACATTATGAAGTGATTAAGATTTTAAAGACGGAATAATTAAGAATTCAACGTAACTAGGGTGATTGTGATAAGTTTGAACATTAAGTTTGATGATTCTTTAATGCTCTTGCATTAAATATTGATGAATAAGATAAAGTGAAGAATATGTTTTGAATGGCTTACCGGCCTTCATATACTTGTATATTAATGTCTAATTTGCACCTTGTGACTGTTAGCAAAATAAAATAACTCAACTTATTTTGAATTTGTTAACCAAGAAAGTTATGTCCCGAGAGCTAGGTAGGTAGATTAAGAAAAAATAGAGTCGGTTAACAATATACTGGGTGATTAGGGGTGCTTGATGGTGGAATGCGTTGGTCGTAGTGCTGGTTGGGCTATGCTATGGAGAGAGGGAGTGGAGGTGGAGGTCCTGGGTTACTCTAATAATCATATTGATACTCATGTACATCTGGATGTTGCTAGTGCTAGGTGGCAGATTATTGGTTTTTATGGGTTTCCTGAGAGAGCGACATAAGTAATCTTGGGATTTACTTCGCTACCTTTCAAGTTTGACTTCTATGCCTTGGGCGGTTATTGAAGAACTTTAATGACTTGTTAGATGAGTGCGAGAAAAGGAATAGAGTTGCGCATCGTCATTGGATGTCATGTGTTCCAAGAGACAGTGAGGGAGTGCAAGTTAGTTGACTTTGGTCCTATTTTGTAACATAGTTAGCTTATCAGCCAATTTTGGCTTGTTTGACAACTATTAGCCGTTTGACTTGGTTAAACAGTCAATATGAGTGTTTGATTAATTAGTTTTTTGTAACAGGTTAATGTTCGAAAACACAAATTCTAAAAGCTGCTCAAAGCAGCATTTTCAATAAGCTTTTTGAAAAAGTCATTTTGCATGTAATCAACAACTAGCTAATAGCTAAATTACAAAACATCTTTCTACGATCGGCTAATGTTATCAACTAGTCAAACTCATTAATCCAAACATTTTAAATTACTTAAATGATAAGAAAAGGCATTTGGTCTAGTGGTATGATTCTCGCTTAGGGTGCAAGAGGTCTTTGAGTTCAATTCTTGAAATGCCCCATCTTCTCCTATAAAATTCTAAAACAATTTAGTTCCATAAAAATAAATAATATTATATTTTCAGTATAACGTACAACTAACTTTGAAGAATACATAATTATGCTCATGATATACTGTTATAAGGGTTCAAATTTGTTATATTAAATTAGAGACAAAGAAATATGAGTCCATACTCCCTAAACCAAATTAGAGACAAAGAAATATGAGTCCATACTCCATAAACTATAAGAGTAACAACTTGCCATGATATACTGTTATAAGGGTTCTAATTTCTTATATTAAATTAGAGACAAAGAAATATGAGTCCATACTCCATAAACCATAAGAGTAACAACTTCGCCAAGATTGGGTTAGTATATACTCTCTCAATTCAAAACAAGAATAATTGGTGTATGTAATTGATGACACCATTTTACATGTTTATTCATAATAAGCAAAGTAGAAAGTCAGCCATATTTATCCTCACAACATTATGAAGTGATTAAAATTTTAAAGACGGAATAATTAAGAATTCAACGTATTTAGGGTAAATTGTAATAAGTTCGAACCTTAAATTTGACGATTCTTTAATGCTCTTGCCTTAAATATTGATGAATAAGATAAAATGTGGGATATGTTTTAAATGACTTACTGGCCTTCAAATACTTGTATATTAATGTCTAATTTGCACCTAGCGACTGTTAGCAAAATAAAATCTTTCAACGTATTTTGAATTTGTTAACCAAAGTTATGTCCCGAGAGCTAGGCAGGTAGGTTAAGGAAAAGTAGTGTCGGTGAAGAATATACTGGGTTGTTGGGGGTGCTTGACAGTGGAATGCGTTGGTCGTAGAGCTAGTTTGACTATGTTATGGAAAGAGGGATTGGAGGTGGAGGTCTTGGGTTACTCTAATAATCATATTGGTACTCATGTACGTCTGGATGTTGCAAGTGCTTGGTGGCCGTTTATTGGTTTTTATGGCTTTCCTGAGGGGGCGACATATGGAATCTTGGGATTTACTTCGCTACCTTTCAAGTTTGACTTCTACGCCTTGTGCGGTTATTGAGGGACTTTAATAATATTGGCACTCATGTACGGCTGGATGTAGTAAGTGCTTGGTGGAAGTTTATTGGTTTTTATGGGTTTCCTGAGGGGGCGACGTATGGAATCTTGGGATTTACTTCGCTACCTTTCAAGTTTGACTTCTATGCCTTGTGCGGTTATTGAAGGACTTTATTGACTTGTTAAAAGAGTGTGAGAAAAGGGATAGAGTTGTGCATCCTCATTGGATGTTGCATGTGTTCCAAGTGACAGTTAGAGAGTGCAAGTTAGCTTACATTGGTACTTGTTTGGTAACAAAGTTAGCTTATCTGCCAATTTAAGCTTGTTTGACTACTAGTAGCTGTTTGACTTAGTTAAACAGCCAATATAAGTGTTTGATTAATTAGTTTTTTTGTAAAAGGTTATTGTTCCAAAACGCTAAAATTCAAAAAGTTTCTTAAAGTAGCTTTTTCAATATGGTTTTTCAGAAAGTCATTTTTCATATAATCGTCTATCACCTAATAGCTAAATTAATAAACACCTTTATACGATCGGCTAATGTTATCAACTAGTCAAACCCGCTAACCCAAACATTTTAAATTATCAAAATTATAAGAAGGGTATTTGCTCTAGTGGTATGATTCACGCTTAGGGTGCGAGAGGTCCCGAGTTCTATTCTCGGAATGCCCCATCTTCACCTAAAAATCCAAATAATAAAGAATTATAAAATAATTTTGTTCCATTAAAAACAAATAATTTTATATTTTCAGTATAATGTACAACTAACTTTGAAGAATACATAATTATGGGCATAATTGGTCATGATATACTGTTATAATGGTTCTAATTTGTTATATTAAATTAGAGACAAAGAAATATGAGTCCATACTCCATAAACCATAAAAGTTACAACTTCGCCAATATTGCGTAATAAGTATATACTCTCTAAATTCAAAAAATAATAATTGGTGTGTGTTGATTGATGGGACCATTTTACATGTTTATTCATAATAAGAAGAGTAGAAAGTCAGCTATATTTTTCCTCACAACATTATGAGGTGATTAAAATTTTAAAGACGGAATAATTAAGAATTCAATGTAATTAGGGTGATTTTAATAAGTTTGAACCTAAAATTTGATGATTCTTTAATGCTCTTGCCTTAAATATTGATGAATAGGATAATGTGTGGGATATGTTTTAAATGGTTTACTGGCCTTCATATACTTGTATATTAATGTCTAATTTGCACCTTGTGACTGTTAGAAAAATAAAATCTCTCAACTTATTTTGAATTTGTTAAACAAAGATATATCCCGAGAGCTAGGCAGGTAGGTTAAGGAAAAGTACTGTCGGTGAAGAATATCCTGGGTTATTAGGGATGCTTGACGGTGGAATGCGTTGGTCGGGTCGTAGTGCTAGTTTGACTACGTTATGGAGAGAGTGATGGAAGTGGAGTTCATGGGTTACTCT